AGTAGAAAACAATATGTTTGATGAAAATAATGATGGAAACGGTCGTCGCGATAAAATGAATCTCACGAATAATAGGTGATAGGAGGTGGACAGTGAAATAATGACAATATATCACGCACACTAACAGTTACGCTTAACTTCTCAGTTTCTACGATACTTTTGCTCTTTTTGAATTTCGAACCTAGGATAACCATAATTCATTCGAGTATATGAACAAACAACTTATTCCAGTTTTCCACCGAATTAATCATTCTTCGGATGAAATATAGTGACCGTTACCAGACGTACCCAGACTTGTATGAGTACGGTTACCTTAGAATCTATTCATATTTCGGCAAAATTAGTGAATTTTCACAACGAATACGAATTATTTTTGCTGCAATCAAGTGTTCCCTGCAGTGGTGACAAAACCAATCAGTTTCACTACGTCAAGGAACTAGCTAAAATTTGTCGTGGAACGAAGTAATTTACGTTAGCATCGGCAACCGAAAGGCTCAAGTTTATGGCATCGCTGAAAAGGGATTCGCATAATAAATCGATGAGTGGACGACTAGAAGAGAGATGGATTTTTGAAGTGGTGAAAAAGAAGAAAATTGAATTTTACTGTCGAGTGGACGATCAATTTTTATTGGAGAAATGAGTATAAATAATATTGAGACAGCAAACGATTCAACAAATAATATTCTGCATAAAACTTAGCGAATAAATTGATCAAAAAATTATTGATTCTTACTTAAGACATCTTCAATAATTGTCCTCTTTCAATGGACGATAGTGTAATATGTTGGTAGTAGCTGGAAGGGTTGCTATCTCATTTGTCTTATAACATTAACAAAAACTTATTTGAAGAAAAGGCTTCGAAAGCAGCCCAACATTCTCCAACATCGTTGTTTCGAGAGCTCAATGACGAAACAATCAATGAGTAAATGTCAAACAATGTCACTGATATAAATAAATTTGGTAATACTACAAATTAATTCTTTTANAAAAAAATGTTTGATTTTATTTTCGATTCGAATCGAACGTGTTAGATAAAAGTTTCTGAATGGATTCGACCTCAATACAACAATCAAAACGACAATTTATCCGTGCATTTTTACGTATTTCGTCAGCAATAACACATAACAAGACTCATTAATATGCGCAAACGCTGAATGCTCACTGAAAGTATAATGCAAGTGATGCGATTTACGAATGGTACGTCGATCTCACAGCAATCAATTTTGATCCGACTGATTTCTCATTCGATTTTTTCATTTGATTCAATCAGAACGCACCATTTACATTATTTTTTAGACTTGAATATATTACATACGAGCATATAGAAGATTTAGTTTGCATGAAAAATTGCGAACACAACACATAATGCTGTTCGACTTTGAGAAGGACACATTCTTTTGCGTAACCTTCACAAGTCAGGTGGCTGTTCACATCAAGCAAACCAATGAATGTTTGTTGAAGGGAGAAAAATCGAGAATACGAGATTTTCGAGGATTGATCAATAGAGTGATAAGGGCAGCTGAATAAAAAGCCGAAATGATGAAGATGAAACTGTTTCAAAGGCGAAAAAAACTGATGTGAGAGAAAGATAAATAAAATAAATCGATGAAGGACAGGAATGAAGGACGAAGAATTTTGCAATTGAATCTCTGAACAAATCCACGAATCACATTCTCTGATTTCACAACTGAGACTAAACAAATGAAAAAAGATGGAACAAAACAAAAANCCTCTGCAACTGTCCGAACTTGAAATTGCCGAATTACGACATCTGTTTCGCGATTCCGTACTCGACGAATCACCAAATGCCGAATCACGATCTGGACTTGGGCAATCGGACGACGACGCTACAGGACGAATGTATTCCTCGTTCAAGGCAGCGAACCTGTAAAAGATACCTTTGCATTGAACAACTTCAAAGTGAGCTATGTAAAGAGGATCAGATTTCGAAACTGTCAACGTCGATCGCATTTCCAGCAATACCCTTTACATCCATATGTTTGCAGATTAACGCGCAAACGAAACGCTCAAGTTATTGAACACACAAATTCATAACTCTGCACCTATTCGAAAAAAGCGCACAACAACTGTCAAGTACTATGTATGACTGATGAGAAAAACTCTCAAATAGGAAAAATGAATTCATTTCTTCTGAAGAAATTCTTCGAGAACCGAAAAAGGCTACCAACCACTGAACTAACAAGAATGCAAAGTGAACTATGAGTACCACAAAGCACTGAATGAATCAGAATAAACTGTTGCGAAATTCAACAAGATCCACTGGTTTTGAAATACCTTTTTTTTGCTTTTTGCTAAATCATTTGTCTGCTAGGCATCAATTCAATGACCAATTGGTATTTTTTGAGTAATATTATTGCGAGCAAACACGAAATATTATGCGAATTCAATGCGTACTGACATTATTTTTGAAAATAATAGCAACGTAAATTAGAGGCGAAAAAAAACCATAAACGCTGGGAAATGCTGCAAAAAGAACATCATCAATTCTTTGCGTTTGTGAATTGAGAAATGGATTTGAGGAGTGGTTATTGGATGGCGGATTTCAGAAATACATTCAAACATACGCCTTCATGCAAGTCCGTTTTTGCACTCTCAAACCAGAACAGATTATCGCAAAATATGAGTTGAAGCGGTTTGAAGGAGGCGAGGCTCAACGGGTTTGTTTCGCATAAGATTTTCGCGTAGTTTTCGAGAAATATGATGAACGCAAAATGTGACAACTTAATGGGATTGATCAGTTCACAAAATATGGTTGTACGCTGGGAAACTTCTTCGTAACTTCCGGAATTTTTACTAACATAAATGGCGAAATTGAGAAACTCATTAAGAGATACGCGCATAGAGT